TGGGGGAAAGTTTCCAAACAGTTCTGGCGGCCAGCCTGAAATTCTTCAAGCTAGAAGCATTTGCCGAAAAGACCGATGCCGGTAGCGACAAGATCTGCGGGGGACTCTGCAAAAAACGCATCTTCGCACGGGCAGCCCGTGCGTTGGCCAATTTTTTACTTTCACGAGAGTACAGTGGTGTGGCGGAGTACAAACCCCTCATTTGTCTGGTTAGGCATCACATTCCAATGAAAATCAGTGCGAGCTTGATCCGGCTCGCGGGCTACCAGTTGCTACCTGTGTGTTAAAACATCAGAATATTTTCACACTACAGAAAGTTACACTTTTTATTTTTCTTTTATACATTTGCAAAATTACGTAACAACAGAAATGTAGCAAGAACAAAACCCATTGTGTTGAGTGTCTTATTTTTGAACAACTTTTATCTGAAAGTGATGTCTGGAAATTGCACCAAGATTCATGGTTCTTTTCGATGGAAAATTGACTTGCTTACCAAAGTAGTCATGCAAAGTGCCTTGAGCCTGTTTCTCGAAAAAGCAAACTAACAGCAGTTTGGCTACCACTGAGCGGCTATTTTGGAAGAAGAGGTACCACACTAGTCAAGGAGAATTCTTTCATTTTCCTTGAGCAACGAAAGGCAGGAAGGATATTGAAAAACTTTTATCATGAAAGTACAGTTGCCGATCAAGCGCACCATGAGCAGATGGCGTTCAGCTGCTTAGCTGTACAGTTAAGCTCGTTTTGATATACGTATGGTTCACCGGCTACTGAATACTGCTCCTCCTTGATGTAGTACTTGACGCGAAAAAGTATCCACACCCTAAAACTCAACATGAACAATTTTACAAGCCAACGCTTTCTCACCACCGAATTGCAGCAGTTTATTGAATGCTGAATTTTTTTTTCAAAATAGTAAATTTTAAATAAAATCTTAGACAATAAGAAACAAAATCTCGGACAGAATTTTTGTGGAAAAGTCCTATATAGCTGTAAAAACTCTCAAACGATTAAAATGTCGCATTTTAGTAGAATCACTAGGAAGCAAGTGAAGAATCTCACACAAGTCACAAGGAGAATTTGGTGGATTTTCTTCCCGGGAACGAATACAAGCGTCAAGGAAAGGTAATCCAGGACACCCAGCACAGGCAGACCATCATCTGTGGCAGGTATGGAATAAACTCAAACGCTTAATAAGCATATATGCATTCATAATCTCACCATTCATTTTTCATTTGTTTGTAAAAAAAAACTGTGGCCAAGAAACAAATCACCCCGGCCTTAAAGTGACAGTGTCCAAAATGAGGTTAGTGCCCAGAACACACGCCTACGATATCACAAAATAGCCAAAGCTTTGTCAGATGTCCTTCTTGGAGAACCGCTGAGCTGGTGGTTGTTGTTCCATGAGACGAAACGAATACAGGGATCACTCAGGCCCATCACCACGTGAAGTAGCACTTATTCGAGCAGTTGTAAAGCTAGCTGTATAGCTGGAGAACGGAATATGGATTCCTAGCACTCTGCAGAAACACTCCTCACAGTTCTTCCTTTTTGCTTATATGCGAAAGTTTCAGATGCTCACCGGCCTGATGTCGAATTGCGAGTGGTAAAAGGCACTGTTACGTTGAATTCGAAATAAAGTATTTCCAGCGCTGCTTGTGTTCCGCGAATTTTTGGCCAGCTGAAAACAGGCTGATGGCTTCCAAAACGGCTTTTACTGGAATTGAATAGTGGCTCAGTTTTGAAAATTGGATATTTCTGGAATATTTCACATGCTGGACGTGATTATGCTAGCTCCTCATACACCCCTGCCTTTCACCTCCCTCCCTTCCTCCATCTGCTTCCCGTGCTTTCACGCCGTTTGCTTCGTACGAGTGCCACATATTCGAGCGCGGGTCTAGTGGTTGCAGGTTGTTTTCACTTTCTTTCCACTTACTGACACCTATTAATTACTTGCTAATCAAGCAGAGCCCCGAGAGTAGTCGAAACTAGTCTCTTTCGCATTCTCGGTCATATTTCGCAAACACCCAGTTTACATGATAAATTAAAAATCGTACAGTAGTGATTCTCACTACATCATGCTTTGCTGACTGAAGTAATAGGTATCCCACTAAACAATACGGAGACGATTTTGAAAAGAAATATTTTAGAACTTTGAAAGAACTTTCAAATGATCAAAAAAAAAAAAAAAAACAAAAGCGGAAATGTTTAGACAACGAGAAACTAACTCTACTTGATCGCGTAAACCATGCCTAACCATTTGATTGATTGCAAACACGTTCGTTTTCCCGGAAAGCACTTCCAGCTTCTTTACATCGAAGCAATCATTGTCCGCAATCGTCTTCCTTGCTATCGATGTCAAATTTTTGAATTCTACCGAATTGCTACAAATCAAAAACACTGAGACAGTCATTGGAGGACTTGACAATTTTCCTTTTTTTTATAGGTATGTGTCTAGTTATTTACTGTTAATTTTGTTACTGTGCAAAAAAGCGGTTCACATACATCGAACTCAGAGCCGTTCACTGAGGGCATGCAGTGCAGGACCAATTCATCTTGATAATGATTTCCAAAAGTACCCTACGTTTAAAAAGCGTGATTACGGTTAGCGCCGTGAGACAATCTCAAGCCTTCAATAGAACAAAACCGAAAAGTATCATCTGAAAATTGAAACAATCGTAATTACCTGTCTAACCTACTCATATTTCTTTGCTCCATGCAAAGGCA